GGGGGGGGGGGGAGAACTCCCCTTAGGATTTGGTACTGTTCGATATGTGAGCGCCGTGTACGTGAGGTGACGAGTACGTACACGTGCTATTTGTTCTAAAACTCTATTTTCACTAAGTCATAACTTGTTTTCTCCTTATTTGAAACACACTAGCATATGTAACTATCCTATTTATGCTAGAACAACATGCCTACTTGTTTAACTGCCTATTTGAACTCTATGCAGCATGTTTTGTGAAAAATCCTGTTTTCCTTGACTTGAACATAGTCTAAAATATAGGATTTCTTGTTGTAATTGTTATTCGGGTTGGTTTCGCTGCATATTTACTTTGGGACTATAGAACAGTATTTCGGGAGATCCCCCTGTACTACATATTTACTTTAGGACTACGGAACGGTATTCCGGGAGATCCCCCTGTACTACATATTTACTTTAGGACTACGGAACGGTATTCCGGGAGATCCCCCTGCTCAGCATATTTATTTTGGGACTACGTAATGGTATTCCGAGAGATCCCCCAGCATATTTATTTTGGGACTACGTAATGGTATTCCGAGAGATCCCCCAGCATATTTATTTTGGGACTTTGGAACGATATTCCGGAAGATCCCTCTGCACATTTACGTTTGGGACTACGAGACGGTATCTTAGGAGATCCGTGTTGTTATCACTGTGTTTTGAGCTGTTGTCTTTCATTGATTCTATCCTTTTTAGATTTCCGTATTTATTTTTCTGCGATATTTTATTTTGTCTTATTTTATTATATTTATACCAGTAGGGCCCTGACCTGATCTCGTCACTACTCGACCGAGGTTAGGCTTGGCACTTATTGGGTAACGTTGTGGTGTACTCACGCCCTTTCCTGCACATGTTTTTCGTGTGCAGATCCAGGTTCATCTTACCAGCCTTATCACTAATTGCAGTCGCTGCTGCTTATTAGAGACTTCAAGGTACATCTGCTCGCGCTCGCAGATCCTCGGAGTCCCCTTTTATCCCCCTATGTTCATTTTTCCTTCTTTCTGTAGAAATGATGTATAAAACGGTTAAAACTTCTTAGTAGCTTGTGACTTACGGTATTCTGAGTTTTGGAAAATTATTTTGTACATTTTCAGAGGTGATAATTGTATATGCCGAGTGGTATTTAGTTGCTTATTAGATATTTGTTACTGTCAGTAGTTAATGTTCATGCTTTATTTTCACTTCCGCAAAAGTGTTAGGCTTACCTAGTCATAGAGACTAGGTGCCGTCACGGCGGTTCACAGAGGGAAAAATTGGGTCATGACAGTGACACTCTTCATAACCGCCCATTGTACCTGGTTGGCTATATGTGTGATGAAAGGGTAAATCAAAATTGAGCCATTCACCGAGGCTGAGTCACACTTCACCGATGCAAAGTTTTACTTGAAGAACCGCATTGTGAAGGAGCTAAAAGATGAAGATGACATGAAAAGCAAGAATGACGAGCCCACAACTAAAGCGAATAAATCTCATAGAGGGGATATTGGGTCTTATGGAAAGAAAGTAAGTCATGCACTCCAATATGTCCCTAAAAGAAAGAAAGATGAAGGCGAATCATCTAATCTCCCAACTAACATGCTAAAGGAGTTAACTCTTCAGGTAAAACGAATTGAGGCAGTGAAGTTGTCCTCAAAGCCACTTGCAGGGTTTGTAGCCCAAAATCGTTTGCAGAATGTGGCACTCCCTACAAAGCGAATAGATGAAGGATTTGATCCTAATGCTTACAGACTATTTGCAAAAGATGGATATAATCCCAATGAGCCGTTAAAGTTAGGGAAGCTCCCATCAGAAGATGCGACGAGGAAACCCCGTGAAGTTTTGGGATACAAGTAACCGTCACCAGTGCACATCTCCATAAGAAGGGCGAGCAACAATTATATCACTGTAGAAGACGAATTTGCCGCTAATAACAGGCCTTCTGTCTTTGATCGACTTGGAAAATCAAATGTGAGAACTTCTGTATTTGAGAGATTGGGTCCATTAAAGATGGGGAATAAGTTATAGAGAAATTATTGAAATACAAAAACAGCCGCTTTGCCCAAAATTCAGAAGATATCTAAAGATTTCCAAAGTTTGGTTCCTTCTAGAATGTAGCGACAAACAAAAGTCATGGTTTCGTGTGATGAGGTACTGAAGGTGAAGCCATACACTGTGGTCTATACTAAAGAACGTGATGAAGATGAAGAAAGTGTGGGTTCTTCGTATCATGTTACTGCACAAGGCGAGCATGGTGTTTTATCTCAAATGGAGGATGACGAGAAATTGGACGATGTTTCACCGTGTTATCATATATCCTTCACCGATGGGGACCCTCAAGAAGATGAAGATGCAAAAGATGCTCCACCTGAACTTCAAGAAGGAGTGAAGACTACAGTTGATGCCTTAAAAGAAGTTAACCTTGGCACCGATGAAGAACCAAGACCCACCTACCTAAGTGCTTTACTAGAAGTAGATGAAGGCAGCACTTATATTGAGTTACTCAAGGAGTTCAGGGATGTCTTTGCTTGGAGCTACAAAGAGATGCCTAGCTTGGACCCGAAAGTACCAGTCCATCACCTTGCCGTCAAGAATGGTGCTCTCCCTGTTAAAAAAGCCCAAAGGCGCTTTACACCGGACTTGGTTCCCTTGATTGAAATCGAAGCTAACAACCTCATCGAAGCTGGCTTTATTTGTGAAGTTAAATACCCAACATGGGTTTCAAGTATTGTCCCTGTAAGGAAGAAGAATGGACAGATTCGAGTGTGCGTCGACTTCATGGATCTCAACAATGCGTGTCCCAAAGATGAATTCCTGCTTTCTATTCCAGAGTTGATGATCGATGCTACTACTGGTATGAGGCAATGTCGTTTATGGATGGTTCGTCAGGCTTTAACGAAATTCGCATGGCACCAAAAGATGAAGAGCTTACTGTAGTCCGCACCCCCAAGGGTATTTATTGCTATAGGGTAATGCCTTTTGGCTTGAAGAACACTGGTGCTACTTATCAAAGGGCTATGCAGAATATTTTTGACGACCTTCTCCATAAAAATGTCGAATGCTATGTGGACGACTTGGTGGTAAAATCAAGACAGAGGGGCGACCACTTGAAAGACTTGAGAATGGTGTTTGAGTTGCTCCGGAGGTACCAACTTAGGATGAATCCATTGAAATGTGCCTTTGGAGTTACCTCCGGAAAGTTCCTTGGTTTCATTGTCCGACATCGAGGGATTGAAATTGATCAAGCCAAAGTAGATGCAATTTTGAAAATGCCCGAGCCTCGGGATATTCACGAATTTAAAAGTCTTCAAGGAAAGTTAGCTTACCGTAGGAGATTCATCTCAAACCTAGCTGGGAGGTGCCAACCATTCAGTCGCCTTATGAAGAAAGGTGTCCCTTTCAAATGGGACCAAGTGTGTAGCAGAGCATTTGAGAGCATTAAATCCTACTTGATGAAGCCTCCGGTTTTAGGAGCCCCTATACTCGGAAAGTCGTTGATACTATATATTTCAGCACAAGAAAGGTCTGTTGGAGCATTGTTGGCCCAAGAAAATAGGGAGGGGAAAGAAAACTCTCTTTACGACTTGAGCAGGATGATGACACCAAATGAGCTGAATTATTCACCAATTGAAAATTTGTGTTTGGTGCTATTCTTCTCAATTCAAAAGTTAAAGCACTACTTTCAAGCCCATGTTGTTCGTCTTGTTTCTAAAGCAAATCCCATCAAGTTCATGATATAAAAACCTATTCTTAGTGATTGACTAGTGAGATGGTATCTCCAATTTCAACAATTCGAGATTTTGTACATCCCTCAAAAGGCTGTAAAAGGACAAGCATTGGAAGACTTCTTGGCACATCACCCTACACCTGATGATTGGGAGCTAACTGACGAACTACCTGATGAGGACGTAATGGTCATTGAAGTTCAACCTCCATGGAAGATGTACTTTGATGGTGCTGCACATCGCGGAGGAGCTGGTGCTGGTGTAGTATTTGTCACTTTTCAAGGTGAAGTTCTTCCCTACTCTTTTACGTTGACGCAACTCTGCTCTAACAACGTTGCTGAGTATCAAGCACTAATACTTCGGCTTGAAATGGCTGTTGAAATGAAGCAGTTGCAATTGCAATTCTTTGGTGACTCTCAGTTGGTGATCAACCAGCTTTTAGGTAGTTACGAGGTCAAAAAACATGAACTACGCCCATATCATGATTGTGCTAAAAAATTAATGGGATGGGTCGGTGA